GCCGCTCTGGCCCCCCCGCCGCTCTAGCCTGGCCGCCGCCTATTTCCCCTCCACCGCCGACCAGCTGGAGATGGTGACGGAGCTGCTGGGGGGGGACATGGTGAACCAGAGCTTCATCTGCGACCCGGACGACGAGTCCTTCGTGAAATCCATCATCATCCAGGACTGCATGTGGAGCGGCTTCTCCGCCGCCGCCAAGCTGGAGAAGGGCCCCCCCGCCGCTCTAGCCTGGCCGCCGCCTATTTCCCCTCCACCGCCGACCAGCTGGAGATGGTGACGGAGCTGCTGGGGGGGGACATGGTGAACCAGAGCTTCATCTGCGACCCGGACGACGAGTCCTTCGTGAAATCCATCATCATCCAGGACTGCATGTGGAGCGGCTTCTCCGCCGCCGCCAAGCTGGAGAAGGTGGTGTCCGAGAAGCTGGCCTCCTACCAGGCGGCCCGTAGAGAGGGGGGTGCCGGCTCCCGGCTCTGCCCGCAGCCGCCGCCCTCGCAGCCGCCCAGCATGGCTCCCTCCCCTGCCTCCGCCAGTACCTACCTGCACGATCTGGGCGCTGCCGCCTCCGACTGCATAGATCCCTCCGTGGTTTTCCCCTACCCGCTCAGCGAGAGGTCCCCCAAGCCCGGCTCCCCCGACTCCAGCCCGGCTTCCCTGCTGGGCGATGACACGCCGCCCACCACCAGCAGCGACTCTGGTGAGTACCGATTGTCCCTTCTCAAGACTGTCCCACCACCTCAGGCTTTCTGGGGACATAGGCATGGGCACAGTCCAGCTCAGCTGTTGCTTGCCTTTTGTGGAGTCAGGGACAACCATCTTCAGGTCTACCAAGGAAGATACCAGGGAAGTTCCCCCCTTGCATGTCCTTTAGGTTTTCTGTTTGTTTTGGGGTGGGCTAAATATATCCTTGTATATTACCTTAAAACTTAACTGCTCTGTGTGTACCTATGTAACAATGCCCTTGGGTTCTGTTACTTTCTAATTTGTCCAATGTGGATGCTTAAACATCATAGAAGAGCTTGGGCAGGACACACTCAGTTTGTTCTCTGCTGAAACTGGCATGCATAACTCCTCCTATCCCTAAGGATTTCAGTCCCCCCTGTTGCATGTGCTTTTTTAAATGCCACGTTAGCAAGGCATGCTCTGAGGCTCCATGCGAATTAAATTTCCTGGGACACTAGCCCATTGGGGTGGGGGGAGAGAAGAGGGAGGAGGTGTTAACTTTCATAACAGGGTCTGAGTCATTCCCCCAAAGCTAGAATCTTATCCAATTGAATTTGCCCTCCAGTGACATTCATGGGATGGGAAAGTGTTAACAGCCACAGGGAGTGTGTGTAATCTGGGAGGTGCTAGTGCTAGCTGAAAAGATGTAAATGAGTCTGAGAATTTTTAAAGGCACTCTTAAGTATCTTTCAAACAGTTTGAGACAGTCCCATGGATAGTTAGGGACTGAATGTCTGCAGACAAGGTCTATAGTCTTTTTTTTCCCTTTCTGTGATTTACTCACATAATGGGGATGGAGGGCGCTTCCGAAGGTGACCCTAAAATATACAAGAGTGAAGAAAGCTTTGCTTTGGGTCCTGGCCCAAAGACTGATTAAATATTTTAAGAATGGCTTCCATGATTGGCAGGGGGTGGGGGTTTGTGCTGTAACATCTGTCAACATTCAACTTCACTGCTGTCTGTTCAGAATTACGTAACTTTTTGCTATCTGGGAGGCAGGGTTTGGCAGTCTGGGATGTAGAGTTAAGGAGTACAAAAGAGGAGTCTGTTCTTTTAACAGTACTTCTGTTGCATGTTGGATTTCTGAGGAAAAAATTTTTTCAGGGAACTGCAGGTTTTAGCAGATTACATTCTGTTACCCACTTTGTTCTCCATTATACAACAAGGAATACTTACACTGTTTATAAATATCCACAGAAATTGACTTATGGAGGAGTGTGTGGTTTGTTTGTTTTTTTTCTTCCAGAAGAAGAAGAACCAGAAGAAGATGAGGAAGAAATTGATGTTGTGACAACAAGTGAATCTGAATCAATCACACAGTCAACAGAAGAGCACAGTAAGCCACACCACAGCCCACTAGTTCTTAAGAGGTGTCATGTCCCCATCCATCAACACAACTATGCTGCTCCTCCCTCAACCAAGCTTGAGTATCCTTCAGCAAAAAGGATAAAGTTGGACAGTGGCAGAGTTCTCAAACAGATCAGTAATAATCGCAAGTGTTCAAGTCCCCGCACATCAGACACAGAAGAAAATGACAAGAGGCGAACGCACAATGTTTTGGAGCGCCAAAGGAGAAATGAGCTGAAGTTGAGTTTCTTTGCTTTGCGTGACCAAATACCTGAGGTAGCCAACAATGAAAAAGCACCGAAAGTTGTCATTCTTAAAAAAGCCACCGAGTATGTTATTTCTATTCAAACAGATGAACATAGACTGATTGCAGAGAAAGAACAGTTGAAGAAGCGGCGAGATCAGTTGAAACACAAACTAGACCAGCTAAGGAACTCTTGTGCATAGATTAGAATCTAATCTAGACTGAAATAAGAAAATATTAATGTTTCTAATCTTACTCATGAACTTATGCCCGTTCATGAAATACGGAACCATTGCAATTGCATGCTTTGCAAAATAACTTGAGACTACACAACCTTGGCTGGAACTTGGAAAGGTTTTAGCCATAACCTCAAAACTGCCTCATAATTAATACTTTGGGCATAAGGACAGATGGGACGACTTCATGCTTGGGGATGAACTTTTTCAATTTTGTTTTTCAGCAGTTTTGTATTTAAGTCATTTTTCTTGACAATTCCAAAAAGTCCCCAAATTGCTGTATATATTTACATATCTTGCTATGTACATACCTTTAATAAAATCTTTATTAATGTTGCACATTTTTCTATACTCAGCAGTTGTGGCCAACTGAATTTATATTTGTCTTGAACTTCTGTGCCAGAACATTTCACAGTTTTGTGGGTTTTATTTAATTTCTTTTAAAAATTGATTTTTATTTTGTTTTTAGATAAATAAATTTGCCCAAAATATAATTAGATAAACCATGTGTAAAGACTTTGCTTTTTCTTCAAAGTATTGTCATTCACTGCCACTACTATACAACTCATGAAATCTGGGTCCATGTAATGTTAGTAATCTGACATCACTTAAGGGTAAATCATGAGTGTGAAATTGAATTTGTTTTTAAATAAGTGTGTTTTGGGGAAGCTACCGTATTTAACAGTCCTTATAGATACTAGTTACCTACACCCATTGACAAAGCAGATAGAAAGGTATTGCACATCACTTCCACCAAAATGACTAGGCCACTGATTTTAGTGTTTAGCCTGCCAGTCCAGCTGTGCTCCCTTCAATATATCAAAGATGAGTAAAATGAGCTTGAGTGGGTACAACCCACTTCAGATGAAGAAGTGGATTGTTGGCTTGTGCCCACTCAAGCTCAAAGTATCTACAGTTGGTAGGCATGGTTTTAACTAAATGCATGTGTAAACTGGGGGGGGGGGATTAAACTCTTCCAAGAACAAAAACTAACTTTACTGACACATAACCAAACTCCACTAACATTTATGCCTTCATTTATGTACTCTACAAATTACAGCAAAGAAAGAAAACACTCATTTCTTAACTGCACATCTGAATCTGCCCCAATGCTTTAACTACATCATGTGGTCTCTCAATCAGGAATTAACTCAGCTCTTTGCCTTCCCTTTAGAAACAGTCTCCATGTATGTAATAGTCACACAACTTTTCTAATAGCTTCTCCAAACTTTTCAGGGTTCTGTCCCTCCTTATTCCCTATATGCCTCCCTGGAGCTAGGAGCAGGTGTATGGTTACTGGGGATGTGCACAGGCTAACTGGGCTACAGCTGGGGTGTGGTGGGGATGAAAATGGGGTCAGAGTAAAGTAGGGTGGTTGGGTGGTGGTCCCCATCTTATGAGTGTTATAAGGTGACAGTCCTTTCCCCTTCTAGATATCTCTGTGCTGAAGCAGCCTGCTCAATCTAAGAAACACATTTGAGGGGGATTTTTTTCAAATAATGAAAGCCTGTCTCTGATGATCCCATAATTATGAAAAGTTGCAGTGATTGAATGTAGTGCAGTTGTTGATTCCACAGTATTTGTCAAAGTGGGTACACTCTAGTTCTGTGACTCAAAAGGCTAGATCTTCCCAACAAAATTTGGTCCAATAAAATATGATCTCTTCCATCTCAGCTTTCTGATTTACAGTGCTAACATTTGTAAGAAGACTTAAACACACTTGTAACAAACAAGCTATTTGATTGCTATTTGATTAGAGCAAATAACCTGTTAGACTAAATACTTCACTTCTCTCCCATCTTTTTCTGACAGTCAAACATCCGCTACCTTTCAGTAGTAACCACAAAGTAGAGACTTGATGGAGATCATTTTGCGCTTTCCTGGGTTGTGGTTGGATACAGCATACTTCATTTTGACACTGCCATCATAAATACTAATATTTGAAAGTAGACAAGGTCCTTTCTCTGAAGTTCTTACACTAAAAGTTATAGCATATTGCATACAACTGCTGTCTGGGATTTCCAATGGAGCATGTTGGTGTTAAGAGGTCATATATCCCATTGAGTTTTTAGTGTTAGGTCCTAGGATTCTTTGAAAAATACTGAGCTTTGTTGAACTTATCTGGATCCCTCTTGGTAAGTTTACAAAATGGCATGCAGTTACATTTTTTACATAAGCAGGATCGATACCGATTTACAGAAGACCTTGCAATGAAACAAGCTGTTCCATCTTGTCAGGACCGTAAGTAGGGTGCTTTCCACTATCTCTGAGCCTCAGAGCAGTTTCTACATTCATAAACCACTCACTGGGGGAGGTAGTTTAAGCTTAAATGAGTATGTAATTAATGTCCATTTTCTCTCCTTTTCTGCCCTGCATTATATCTAGGTTTCAGTAATAATTTGCATAGCATCTATTGTCCAACAATTTCAAAGTGCTTTTCAAATCAGTTGTTAGCTTACACATGTTCCTGATGGATACATACATAAGTGTCAGAGCTCTGGGTTTTGGTTCCAGGTCACCTGCACTAACAACATTCCTTTTATTACCTTTGTTCCCATTAATAAGATCAGTACGCAGAGACAAGTTAGCAAAGTAACTCTTACATAGAGCCTTCCTAAAACCAGGGGACATATTTGAGAGATAGTGATCCTTGCTTTAGTAACAGACGTGAAGATTTCCAGTCTTTTAATACATTGGATTTTTTTCTTTACTCTTTTTCAGTACTAATCTTCACTAGAGCCATGTGCTGACCCACTGCCAGAGCAGCAAAGCAGATCTTTATTATACTCCTAATTGACCTTTTGATCTGCTTCAGGAGATCCCAGGGATTTATGGGTATTTCCTTGTTTTAAAATGATTGTCTCTAAATGTCATAGCAAAAAGTGCATTAAAATAGTGCCTGAGGTCAAGAAAAAAAAGTGTCATAAAATCCTTCCTGCAGCAAAGAGGAGGTTGTTTCCACTTCTATAGGTAGTGTGACAGTTTGGGAATAAATGAGATCTCCCAAAGGAGATTCTGGGATATATTCAGTTAATGATGCATACAAATCATAGGGTTAGAAGGAATTACAAGGGTCATCTAATTTGACTCCCTGCAAAGATGCAAGATAGGCAGTGAATATGGAGAAAACAGTGTTAGTTTCTGCTGCTTTTTTTGGAGCAATACAGGTTGATAAGCTTGTAAAAGAAGGCACTGGGTCCTGACATGTAAGAAGCTTTCACTGCTTGCCAAACAGCTGTACCACAACAATGCTTAAACTACAAGCAGCATTTTATCTCCATTTCTCTGCTCTTCCAGTTCTACCTGAACATTCAAACAAAATCTGTTGCAAAAGCATGAAACAAATTGTGCAAACTTGTGGCAAAGAAAACTAGGTGGGATTCAGCAATAGTCCTTAATAATTAGAACTCATTAACCAACTAATCTCTATATTTAAGATAGTTTGTGAGCAAGTGAGTTTGTCTATCCGTTTGTCTGTTCAAGAACTCCTCCTATATGGTAAGAGGTAGGCCTGCCAAATTTGGGCTGTAGCTTTCTCTTATCATAACTTAAAGTAAGAGTTTGGTTGTCCCAGGACAATAGGTTATGTCTGGAATATGCTTGTTTTTCATAACATGGAAAGGGAGGAGGCTGCTAGCAGGGACATATATACTGTGTAATGACTACAGGGGATAGCAAGGGACTAGAGATGGGGTCCAGGATAGCTATAACCCCATTGGGGGAGCAGG